TTGAAGTACTCGAAGGACTTGACAACTGTAGCCACAATTATGTTTTGCTCTCTTTGAAGAGTAGGAAGTCAAAATGCATTTTAGGGCATCACATTACAGGAGTCTCTTGAGAAACAGATGTGTGGGAACAAATAACGTATCATTCAAACTCTTGAATTTACAGAGTAGGAGAGCAACAAGGAGGGACTTTAAATACAAGCTTTATCTATGTATTTGAATGTTTACTTTAAAATGTTACCTGAAAATTTAAAAGAAAAATATTTAGGGAAAATTACAGAATGATGGCAGTTTCAGATTACATACTAAATAGTGAACTGCCATGGCGTTGCTCAAATGAAAATATCTCAACCACTCTCAAGTTGTCCATATAGGAGCAAACTATAAAAGAGTGAAAGAACACTTAAGCTGTGCCATAATTGGAAGTATGTGAAAAATGAAGTGTCAGTTCGGTCAATAAAGGGCAAAGGTCAAGGGGAACTGCTGCCCAAACTCTGTGCAAAATGTGCTCATTAAGACATCCAATCAGAGAGCTCTTTCCCACCTATCCCATTAGTCATCAGATATCTGACTGCTTCAGATGTCTGAGTCTGTGCTGTTATTACTTTTCTTCTTCATGTAAAAAGGCGAGCTGATGTATAAATCGTTGCTCAGTCATCTGGAACATAATGTGTGCCCCTCCCTTCCCAGTTCATCTAGCTCTGTCTGCTAGCTTTGCAACCTCCAAACAACTGCCTTGAAATTCTCTTCAACAATAAATGAAATTGCCTTTTGCCGATAGGTTGCCTGAACACTTCTACAAAAGCCAAGAAAACACTGCCAGTGCTGATGCTTTTTCTCTTAAAAAAACACATTCCTTTCCTTTTGTTTTAAAGAACAATGTTGCATATCAAGGTCTGAGTCATGGACACTAGTAGCCCAACTGGGGAGGGACGGGAAGGGGTTTAGGTATTACACATAGAAAGCCTAGGCTTTAGAATATTTATTTATTAAATTTATTTGCTGCCCATCTCGTTTGAAAACGACTTTGAGTGTCTTACAATATTATATAAATATATAGAATATAAATAAATAGGAAATAATTTCAATGCCCAAATAAGAATTTGATCCAATTAAACACAGGGATTTATTTAAGCTATATATTTAAGCCATGAGAACTTTTACTCAACTGTATTTGAAACCAAGAAGCAAAACAAACAAGCTGAAATTCCTTGAAAACTTTCAAGTAGGTGAAAGAAGCAAAGCAAGGAAAAACAGTATTCTTACTCATTCATTCTAAAATTTCCCCTACATAAGGACAGACCTAAAACAGCAACTAAGCCAAATCAGGAGCTCCCCTCTGACTGTGTCAGGTTTCTTTGGATTGAACTCTAAAAAGTAATTGGGGTGACTATCCCTTCAAAAGCAATACTTCTCAAGTGAAAATAGATTTCCTGATGCTCAATATGTAAAGAATTGCAACCTTAAGTAGAGCGCTCACAACAGTTTGGCTATTGGTCCATGTGTTTTGGCTTTGAGGAATTATATGAGGAAGAGAGTCTCTGGACTGTTTTGGCCTTGAAACCCTTGTGGAGCATTTACCCTGGATTTAAACCCTGATGCCATCACAGATTATGTTCCTTTGTGACTTGTGAAGTTCATTCTTGAATACAAAACAAGGTTCCTGAATACAAGAACAAAGATCTGAAAGGATAGGAGAAGATTTAAAGAGATTCGTCTCTTCCAAGGCCTGTTCTCCTTTTTGAGTTGTTTTTTTTAACACTAGTTGGGTAAAAATGTTTTTTTTAAAAGGCCTTTGAGGAGAAATTGTAAATCCGAAGGTGGATGTTTATGTGATCATATATCCCCTCCTTTCCTTTCCTCTTTATGCCATAACTCAATTCTATTCCAAAAAGTCCCCTTCTGGATCCAAACCAGATTTCTAAAATTGCATATTATTTCTTTCATCATCATCATCATCATCATCATCATCATCATCATCATCATCATC